TCTGTCTTCTTGCTGGCTCTCCTCCGTCACCCTGCTCTTTTCTCCTCCCTCTGCTGTGGTTTCCTGCTGCGACCGCTCGCAGAGCTTTTTTCCCCTCATTGCCTTAAATCACCACCTCTTAAGAAAGAAGTTGCTTTAATGGATACCGCCAATGTTGTAAAATATGTTCAGTTTTATTTTTCAAGTCACACCGCCTGCTGCTACACCATTCTTCACATTAGGATATTGACACAAGTGATGCAAAGTGCTTCAATGAACGGATTCTACGACGAAAAACACAACAGCTGTGGGCTGTTTTGTTTTTCATTCACCCCTCAAATTTGGAATTTGTAAATGGAAGTTATAGGGTTTTTGTAAATCAAAGCGTCTGATTTTCTTTTATATATTTACTGCAATGTATTTAATTGGCAGTAGTTCAGAAAATAACCTTTGTTGCATTGAACGATTGTTGGCATTTCTCTCTCACAGTGAGTTCTACCAGTAAAAGGCAGCCCGTCTGCCATCCTGCTGAGGAAGTGAAACTACCTGAAAGTTCAGTGAACAAACAATATCAGGAAAAGTCTGGGAAAAGCTGCTGCCACAGTAATAAATCCCACAGATTCCTGGATAAGAACCAACAATCACAGCCAGGTCCAAAGCTGATGTCCCTGTACCTAATGTCTGTACCTGACTTTAAGAACCTAGTAGTGGACCATCAAATACAGTGTACAGTATGGTTCCAGATGGACTGCAGTGAGCAGTGGTGTTTATAAAGGGAGGACAGGAAGTGTTTGCCTTTGGGGAGAACGACAGCGACTGACATCTGTGTACAGTAGATAAGACAGAGAGCAGGTTTTGGGAAAATGTCCTTATGACTCCAAGGCCATGAAAACAGCCTGATGGAATTCAAACAGGAAACTCTCAGAAGTCAGAGTGGAGGGAACTATGCTTTCCGAGTTTTGGAAAATTCTCTTATGCTGAACTTTGCCCCAGTGCCTAAAGCAAGGCATGGTTGGTTGAGCTCAATATCTTGACCAGGTCACAACAGAGACATGAGCACCTACAGCTAATGGTCTCCTGGG